ATGGGAACCAAATCGATCGAGTACCGCTCGCTGAACAACTCCAATCCCCGATGAACCCTCGATACTCGCACGGGACGATCGTCATCAATCTCAACCTCTAATGGATAATCCAGCTCCCCCGGAGCATCGACAAACCTCTTGTTGAGTGCAAGAGATACAAAGAATTGGGTAGCCCCCGAATCTAACAAAACCATAGCGGAGATACTATTCACAAGGAACGAACCTAAAAGAAAAACACATATATAAGCAGGAAAATCAAAATAAATAAAGAGATAAGGAGAAGATACATACCCGTCACCACATCTGGTGTTGCACGAGCCTCCTCGGTTGTCAACTAAAAACCCTTGATCCTCGCAACAGGCGCCTCTGCCTTGCCCTGGCGGCCATCTGTGATCCTCAAGGTCGTCGGAGTGGGCACTGCAACTGGTCCCGTCGCTGCTAAACCCGGACAATCGACCTTTTTATGGCCTCTCTAATTGCAATGAAAGCAAATCAGACTCGATCCCTGTTAGGTGGCAGTGCAATCCCTGCTAAAGTGTCCGGTCTTGTCGTACTTGTAGTTGCCCGAACCACCCACCCTGCAATCTTCATCGTGTATCTTTCCGCACTTGCCACAACGGCCCCGACCCTGATGGCCCCTCGATCTCGAATCAAAAACCTTGGGCCTCTTGCCCGAACCCTCTGAACTCTGAACCTGATCCGACTTCTTCTTCTTTTCCATCTCTATATCAATCTCCCTCTCTCTGGATCTCACTACCATATCATCCAGTATCCTGCAACTAGATATGCTCAGAAATTGTCTGATATCGCTCCTCAACATATCGTGATATATTGCCTTCTTCATCTCCTCGTTTGCCACATACTGCGGAACCAATAAAGCCCTCTCGCAAAACATGGCGGTGATCTCCGCCACCGTCTCAGTAGTCTGGCGAAGGTCCTGAAAATCCCTCGCCAGCTGTTGGACCTTAATCACGGGTGCGAACTCAGCTCGAAACCTCATCACAAAATCTTCCCAAGTCATCAACTCATTCACCTCACCTCCTAAGGCGTGACCAACCTCCTCCCACCAGTTACGAGCTCTGTCTTTTAGAAGACAGGATGCAAGTCTAACCTTCGACCCCTCAGGGCAACATCTAGTACGGAAGGCGTTCGTGATATCCGCTAACCAATGCATGCTCGCAATAGGGTCCTTCTTCCCTAAGAAATCTGGATCCCCACATGCCCAAAGCTCTCGGAAAGTCAAAGAGCGAGCTCCCACCATCTCAAAATGAAAAGCGCCCAAGCGCTCATCCAAAATCTCCATGATACCCTCCTTGATCATATCGAAGATGACAGTAGTCTGCTCTAGAATATTGCGGGTAATATCTGATGAACTTAACTCCCGCATCTGATCATCCATATGTCCGGCCCCAGAGCCAGAACCCGAACCATCGCCGACACCAGAACCATCACCGGCACCTATACCTCCACCAGAACTTCCTCGAGTGACCACCATGCTGAAAAATAAACCATACAAACCATCAGAACACACTCGAAGAATCCCACATTCTACAAGATCATTGGTATCATTGTTACTTTCCTTAACTCGAGTATGGATCCTCTACTTCCAGTAGTACGGACCCAATACTACCTTCCACATCTATCCGTACTTTCCTCCAGGATATCCCCAAATTCCGACGATCTCCAACAAAGCAAAACTCACTGCACCGAATGACCTCCTATGTTCTCCTAGGACTACCATCACACCACTCTCCGCCATCAGTTGTAGAAGGAACTCCCTCTAACACCTTCTAACTAGCTTACAAACACAATTACATATCACCGACACCAGATAACTCTTCGACTGAAAGGTCTCACACTACAACGGTTGGATTCAAACAAGAGCGGCGCAATAGGGTTAAACCTAACCTTCTAAAATTATCTAATATCAGTAATATGTACCTTTACGCATTTGCTTACTAGTTAGCTGATATCAAAGAGAACTCCTAAAATCATAAAGCAAGCAACCTTCGAGCATTGGGTAATCTGAATCAAAGCATAACCTAAACATGTCATCCTATCAACAGACTGATCCAGTACTAGCATGCAAGTCTATAAGCTTATACAGTAGGCATATAAAGGCATCTCTCCTAGCATTCTATAATGCAATCCTGAGTAGATCCTTAGCCCTAATCTAGCATGCGATTCACAAATTCGCAATTCAAAGCATATCACATAGAACATGTATGGGTATTTTGGGAAAACTTACTTGAGCTCGGTCGATTGCATACACCCCTCCTCTTTCTTTTATTAGAAAATCCTTTAATAAAATAGTTTTTTTTATGAAAAATCTACCAAACCCTCAGTATAGTTCAAACACACCCGAGAGTATGCCCGAATCCCTCAAACCAAGGCTCTGATACCACCTTGTAACATCCCAAAAATTAGAACCAAAAATATTGTTTTTATAATAATAAAACCATCAACCAAACATTTTTTATAGAAACCGTAAAGGAAATCAGGGTATATCAACAATCATCCAAAAATACATCAGGGTCAAGTAGAGCGGAAAATCATGGTGTGTGCATTGCGACCATCCTGAGCTCTTCCCCTTCGAACCGGAAGTACCTGAAACATAAACTGAAAACCGTAAGCACACAGCTTAGTGAGTTCCCCAAAATACCGCATACCATACATATACGTCAGCTCAAGTCTGTACCGGGTCTATTTCACCCCCGAGTCTATTTCAACTCATATGTCAGCACAAGGTTGTACGAGGTCTATTTCACCCCGAGTCTATTTCAACACAATCGGTATTTTTCAACCATACGGGTCTATTTCACCCCCGGGTCTATTTCATCCCACATACATATAGCAAACAGGCACACATGCATACATGCATACAACAGGAGTCACAAAGACTATAAGCACATTCAATCCCTAGTGTCCTAAAGTATAGTGAGCAAACTCACCTCGATCCGCTGCTAAACAAATAGATGCTCGGGCTACTGCACCGTTGAATCCCCTCGCTAACCAATCAAATACAACCTTAATTAATAATTAGGTCATAAACCATAATCGGGACTTTAATTTACAAACCCCGACTCCTAGGATAAAAGACCATTTTACCCTTCCCCTTAATTGGTCCAATTAACCGTGGCCCAAACAAAAAACACTCGACGCCCAAAAATTGCCCAAATCCATAAAGGCCTAAGGCCTAACAATGACCCGACTCAATAAAACTTTTGGTTCAACAAGAGCCCAAAACCTAGAGTCCAAAAGTGGCCCAAAACCAAAAGCCCAAAATCCCCCCCCCCCCCCCTTGATGAGTACATTTAGCGTACTACCTGGGTACGCCAAGCGTACAGCTCCGCAACCATGGAATTATGGGGCCTCAGCTGCGTACGCTGGAGTATGCCCGACATACGCCCCTTCTTGCCAAAACTTCATTAAGCACCTAATGCTTTAAGTCCAAACGTCCATTCTGTAGATCCACACCTTGGGTAATGTCTTAAACGATAAAGTTACCAACTTGATGCCTTTGCATAGCTTAAAGAGACTCAAACCCTAGATTTAGTATTTTCCTTTCACCAAATGAGCATTAACCCAAGCATGGTTGATCTATAACCATCAAGATGCAAACTTTATGAACTAGGGACCTCGGAAACATCAAGAGGAGCAACTCAAAACTTTTGGAGTGACATTTACTCACTAGAACTCATTCATGGGACCAAAATACGTCCAAAACTCCACTAGATCTATATCTAAGTATAGAATAACCATGGACAAGACTTTATTCCTCTATGAAGCTGAGGAAGGTGAGTAACCTCTGGATCTACAAGCTCCAACTTGATCAATGCTCCTTCACCAAACTTCTTCTTCTTCAAGATTCACCAAACACCCACCAAAACACACACAAGGATCCAATCTCTCTAAAATGGGTTAGGGTTTCGAAATGAGGCTTAAAGGGGCAATGAAGGCTGGTAATGAGAGAACCTTGGGGCATAAGGTTGTTTAAATAGGGTCCAAACCCTAAAAATTAGGGTTTGACCCCTGACCACGTACGCCCAGCGTACTCACACAACCTCCAAATTTTCATTAAATGCCATAAGGGACCAATTTTTCAAACAATCACATGTGCATTGAAGTCGATTTTACTTGTTATAAATAGGTTATAATGATATAGTAATGTCAAATCCCTAATTTAAGGAGTGTTTGGTAAAACTAGCTGATAGCGGGTAGCACGTAGCTAGTAGCATTTTGTTAAACGCTACGTGAAGTAGCTTTTAGATTTATGGCGTGTTCGGCAAAACTAGCTGCTATTGGGTAGCTGGTAGTTGGTAGTGTTTTGTTAAACGCTACAAGAGGTAGCTTTTGGATTTGGAGCGTTTTGTTTAAACTAAACGCTAGAAGCTTGTAGTGCCAAACGAGACTTTTTATTTAAAACGGAGCGTTTTGTCAAACGCTAGAAGCTCTCAAACACTCTGTGCCGAACACGTTAGAGTGTTTTGTTTAAACTAAACGCTAAAAGTTTATAGTATCAAACAATGATTTTTGTTCAAAACCAAGCGTTTGTCAAACGTTAAAAGGTAGAAGCTTCAAAAGACTCCAAATCATCCTTAGTGGCAAACTCGCCTTGTTAAAATCTAAATTGCCAAGTATTTTTGCTACTATTAGGCGACACGGTATGGTAAAGGTGTCACCGGCGGTATCAGACGTGTCACACCTTCACCGTCGGTGAACACCGCGTCATGGTTTTGTTTTTACCGTCAGTGAAATACCGACAGTGGCTTTCTACCGTTAGTGAACTTTTGAATTTTTGACCGTTTGAGGGAATTTGGGGAAGGGAAAGGTGTCAAACGGTCAGCAACGGCTATTTTGGCAATTTTACTTTTTTTTTTATTTAAGAAAAATATACTATATATACAAATCATATGTCTAAAATTTAACCACACTATACACTCTCAACAAACATTTTTCATTGAAAATGTCTTCGAACAATCCAAACTCTTCCAAACAAAATGCTCCAAACAAAAAATGTTAATAACTCGTTCGCACTTTTCGGCTACGATCCGTCATCACCACCACCTTATCGACCACAAATGGACGGTGTTCCTAGCTATTATTCACAATTCCAAATGCCCCAACAATTCCATTTCCAATCTCAACCTCAAACCCACCTATCTCAAACCCAATTTCCATCCCAACCGCCATTCACACCTTCAACCGAAATTTTTTCTGATTCCGAACACGAAGAACAACAACAACAACCTCAACAACAAAAGAAAGGGAAGGCTGATCCGAGAAGATAAACACAAAAAGAAGAAGTTGAGTTAGCAAAGGCATGGGTCGACATATCCGAAGATGGTGGTACGGGAAAGGGTCAAAATCGTGATCAATTTTGGTTACGTATCACAGAGCGATTTTGTAAGGGAATGGGTCGAAATCTAGATTATCGGACCTCCGACCAATGTAACTCCAAATGGAATCTTATGAACAAAGTCGTCACACATTGAAATGAAATTTACACAAACTTTGAAAAACAATGGGCTAGCAGAGAAAGTGAAGCGAGTTTGTTGAAAAAAACACACACTACATTCCAAGTTGATATGCTAAAGCCTTTTAAGTTTATTCATGTGTGGAAAGTTGTCAAAAGAAGCATTAGGTGGAGGGAACTTGCAACACATGAAGAAATAGCTAATCCGCCAAAAAGAAGTCGGATATCTTCATATTCGATCTCACAACAAGTCTCATCAGATGGTCACGTAGGCGTTAATCTTAATGATGATAACGACGACATCGAAGAAATACGTCCGCCTCCTCCTCCAATGGGAAGGGACAAAACAAAAGCTCGCGCAAAAGGAAAATGGAAAGCGACATCTTCAAATTCTTCAGTCGGAACCGAGCGGTCAGCTAGATCGGAAGAAATGATGACACAAATGGCACAATTGAATTCAACTTTGGAGAGGCATATGGCTGAAACCATCCGACTCACTGAATATTCATTGTTAATGCAAGATGTGAGACACCTCGACCCTAAAGATCAAGAGGCGGCTAAAGCGGTGAAGCAGTCGATTCGCGAAAAATATAAGCTAAATCGCAAATGAAACTTCGATGTTATGTTTTTTTCTAGTTTTTTTTTTCTTTTTTTTTTATAAAATTCACTTCATGTTTTTTTAGGTTTTTAATGTAATTCTAATTTAATATTATTTTTTATTTTTAGGATTTCTAAAATGTAATTTTTAATTTTATGTTATTTTTAGTTTTAGTATGGTTTTTAAAAAAGTTCTTATTTTTTATTGAAATTAAAAACAAACAAAAAAAAAGATATAAAAAAAAAATTCATAGATAAACCATTTACCACATCTTAGTCCGTAGTTGAAAATTACAAAAACTGTGAAAGTTGACGTGACGCCTACGTGACACCTTTTTATCATTGGTAAAAAAGACAACACACCCTTTAACACCCTTTAGATTTATCGAAAGAATAGCATGTGACGATGGGTGGTGGGCCCATGGTTACAAGTGGTAAGAGCACGGAGCACTCTTTGTACTCTTATTGGATCTGGGTTTGACAATATGTTGATTGGTGGGTTTATATTATTGACCCTCTTGCAACCAACTAATTAAAGTATTAAACAACCGCTCTAAATTTTATTTTGGAAATATTCCTTTTCAAAAGGAGTTGATTAATAGTTCAATAGAATACAATTATATACAACCAAACAATAGTTTACTTCTATAAAGTTCGACTTTCGAAGATTTTTTTTAATTATTTTATCCTCAACTGGTGAAGTGGACATGTCATGGCACTTAAGCCAGGATTATTAAAATGCTTTGCAAAAAAATAATATTTAGATTATGGTAATTTAGATTTTAGACCATCTATTATGAAACTATGGCTTTAAATATTAACGAAATAATAAGTAATTTAAATAAGTAAATAAATTCAAATATACTTAATGTATATAGCATTTTTAAATCATTGTAATTCAAAAATACTAAATTGTATCCTAATAATATATGTATAAAACACATTTAATACATCATTTTAAAAAAAAAAAAAAAAATTTAACATAGTATTATAAGTCTGTGCTAATATTTAGTCAAAAATAAAACATTTGACTTAAAATAGTCACGATATTCGAGCACTTCATGCCAAATGGACCTCAAAGGTGCGAAATTAGTTGGATAGTTCCAACTACGAAAATTCCCGAAAAATATTTCCCTTATTTTTCATTTTCATGTGGAGGTAAGATGTTTTTTTTTTTTTAATTTTTTTTTACTCTTTATTCTTATATTTTCATATAGAGTTAAGATTTGCACAACAAATACAACGATAATGATATTTTATTATATTCTTTTTGTAATTTCGCAACTTTTTTTTTATCATAATTACCATATTTGCACCGGAAAATGTGGTATTCCTGCAGAAAGTTCTGTGAAAACATCATGTTTTCATTGTTGTTTAGCGTAGATATAAAATGTTTTTTCGTAGATTTACACAAAACGTAAGTTTTTTCTTCATAAGAAAACACCATATTTTCATAGGAAAATATTGTATTTTCTCAAACCTTACTACAAAAACATGGTCTTTTTGCATAATAGTATGCAAATAACAATATGATGGATTCAGAAGTATGATGTTTTTCATAAATGTTATTTCGTCGGTGTTTTTTTGATTATTTGCTTTTGTTGTATATATTAACATGGACTTTAAGGGGGAAATGAAACCCCAAAGGAGTTGTGGGTAATGTATGTAAGGTGTTACAGTGTCTAATTCAATAAATGCACGGATTTTTGACGACATTTTTCATAAATACATAATTTTTTAAGTAGCATCTATAACTTCTACATATAAAAAAGTGAGAGTATAAAATGAGTTGCTTGTTTTATATATTTATATGAGTTATTGGTTTTTTCTAAAAGATAGTGATTTAATTATATTCACTTAAAATGATTTTATTAGAGATCCACATAATACATATCAACCAACCCGCCTATCACAACATCAAACATCTACATAAAAAGTGTAGATGCGAAACAATTCATACCAACCCTTTGAACTCCTTTGAAAACATAAAATTTTATTTCTTGACAAAAATGTTTTTTTCTTCTTCTCCTGTTCTCCACCAAAAGACTATTTAAAAATTACCCACAAGCAGGGGTGGTTTTGATGTAGTGCACAGTGTTGCACCGGCAACACCTGTTTTTCCCGCACGTAGTAGAAATTTTTTCGATTTTTTTTTCTTTTTTTACCTATTGTGTCACTACGTAAAAAAAACCGGCAACTACTAAAAAAATAGCAACTACGTAAAAAAAATGTCAGTCTATTGGATCAATTCAACCCAAATAATTAGTAGCCCAAACACATTTCTATTTTAATCCAACTAATATTAGCCCAAATGAAAAAGAATAGGGGAAATAGCCCAAATAGAACAATTATCCAATTTCCCAATTGGGTCCAATTGGTTGAATCTAAAAATAAAAATAATAATAATAATAATAACAAAAAAATAAAGCAAGAAGACCTCGTTTCGCTTGTCTTCTCCCAGCCTCTCATCGACGACATACGACTTCTTCTGCTTCTGTTCTTCTTCTGTTTTGATCGACAATCGACAACTTCCCTTCCCAAGTGCAAAAAACGAGGTGCTTCTTGGTGGCTTGAGGTGCAAAAATCGATTCCCAAGTGCAAAAAAAGTTTCAATCCAAGGTCCAAGCCCTAATGAAGCAAGTAAGTATTTCTAATTTTCTATGGTTTTCGAATTTATAGTTGTAATTGTTAAGCAAAATTCTAAATTGCTATTACTAATTGCTAATTAGATGTAATTTCTATGTGCTTATTGAAGTTATTAGATATTTGGATGATTTGGTAAAATTGCTATGTTATTATAGAAATTATTGTTTGATTAGTTGTAATTTCTATGTTTTTTATTGAATTTTTTGTTTGATTTGTTAAAATTGTTATGTTTTAGGTTTACATGTTATTGTTTGATTAGGTATTTAGGTGAAAATTGAAATGGCTATGTTTTTATTGAATTTATTGTCAGATTAGGTGAAAATTCTATGTTTTATTGAAGTTAGTTTTTGATTAGGTTAAATTGTTATGTTTTTATAGGTTAAAGTAAGTTGTGTTTTTACCAAAAGACCAAGATCTAATCCTAATGAAAGTGGTGAAAGATAACACCAATCACCAATCAATCAATCCCTTTCGTTTCTAATTCTAATGCAACTCCACAAACACCAATCACCAATCAATCAACCCCTTCGGTTTCTAATGCAACTCCACAAACAACATGCTCTAATGAACTTAATGATAATGTTGATTTGAAAGATCTTCCAAAGGACCCGACGCATAGGTCAAAGATTACAAGTTACAAATCAAATGCGAGGGGAATTCAATGGTTTGAAAGTTTTGATATTACAAGAGAATGACACAACTTTTTATGTACATTGCTTTGCACACCAACTTTAATTAGTGGTTATGGCTGTAGCAAAGAAACATAACGGTGTTAGTGACTTTTTTAAGCTAATTTCGTTGGTGGTTAATGTTGTTTGTGCCTCGTGTAAAATAAAAGACTTACTACGGGAACAAGCAAGAGAAATGGTGCAAAAAGGCTTGTGTAGTGGTGAACTTGAAACCGGGAGAGGGTTAAATCAAGAGACTACACTTGTTCTAGCGGGATATACAAGATGGGGTTCACATTTCAACACACTCACAAGTTTGATGAAGTTTTTGCGGGTGTTCTTGTAGTTTTAGAATTTGTGAAAGTGGATGGAGGGTCATTGGCAAACCGTCAACAAGCGTCCGAAATCTTAGCATATTTTAACTCTTATGAGTTCGTGTTTTACTTATATATGATGTATGACGTTTTACGCCTCATGGGTACATTATCGAAGCAACTTCAAAAAAAGTTCTAGACATTCTAGAAGCGGATTCGATGGTTAGAGGGACAATGGACGAATTGCAATCTTTAAGAGATACGGGGTTTGCTAGCATTTTGACAAAGGTATCCTCTTTTTTTCAAACACACAATATTGCTACTTTGGAAATGGAGGATTTTTTATGTTGGTGCGAGAAGCCGTACGACCACAAAGACCAATAGATTTTATTTTGAGGTTGAAATCTTCAACACGGTGGTGGATATGAAACTTACAGAATATTGGGATCGATTTAGTGAAACAAACACCCAGTTACTAGTATATATGGGTGCTTTGAGCCCTTGTGATTCATTACAATTTGACAAATCAAAGCTATTGAAGTTGGCTAAGTTGTACAAGTATGACTTTGATGATTCAGATTTGATAGATC